GAGAGAGATTATGCAGGCAACATGTACGCATATGGAGATCTTACCGCGAGTACGGTGTTGCAGAAGTTGCAGTGCACGTAGCAGACTTCTTCTGCCGGTGTGATCTGGCCCGACGACGACATTCTTCCTTCTGATTATCCCCTGGCGCCGCCGCCTCACTGCCCCCCTAGCCGTTCAGACCACGGCGAGGTTCAACAGGCGGCAGCCAAGAAGAAGAAGCGTTGCCGTGGAGAACTGCAGGCTAGCTAGGTTACATGAGCTACTGCTGCTTCTCTCTCTTTCTCTGGGTGTGTAGGTTAGATCGATGGAGAGAGAGAGAGATATGTATGGGCAGAGAGGAAGGAGAAATTGAGCTGTCTAGCTTTCCTCTTTCCAGGTTATATTGATGCTATGGCTCTAGTGAGAGAGAGAGAGAGAGTAGGAGAGGGGGAGAGAGAGAGAGATGGGGGTTGGAGGATGAGAAATGGCGTGTGTGGTATGATTGCAACAATGAGTGGGTGGCAGATACCCCTATCCCCCTCCATCATGCCTATCTACCAACAAGGATCCACATCGTTAGTGTGCACTTACCAAATTGATCAGTCACCAGCAAGCAAACCCTCGCACACTAGGTTTTACAGAGGGAGAAGTTCTTTCCAACAAAACATCCGACCGTCGAAAAATCACATGGAAATCAAGATCTTGATCCAGAATTGTGTGACTGTGCATCTACTCTGCCGGAGAAAACCAAAAACTGCGCTCATATAATTTACATGACTATTTAATTTCCATCGCTCCTGGTTATATATTTTCTTCAACCATTTCTTGGCCTAGGTTGGTTGTGTGCACCGTAATGATGCAGAAGACGGGGCAATCCTCCTTTTGAAAATATTTTTTTCTTGGCTTATATATATGTATATATGCATTCTGTGTAGCTGTGTGTGCGCGCTAAACTTACATATTTTTAAATACACAGATAGATATATGTACGTCCACGCATCCAGATGATCCGATGGATGGATGCCCATGCGGTGTAGATTGAAGTCCCTTTCTGCCTCTCCACGGCGGGCCCGTGCGCTTGTTCGATCGATGCCATAACTTCATCACAGTACCAGCTGCAACTTTGGTTCATGCACATACGTACACTGTAGGGAATAAATTCAAGTAATAGCGTGCGTGTCAAAAAGTTTCACTCTCTGTCCGTAAACATATACTATCATGTTTCACTTTTGGCGTACGTTTAATTATTGTTGACGGACAAACGGACGGCTCGATAATAAACGAGAAAAGTGCGCCGGAGAAAAATGTTGTAGAAGAGAGAACCAGCGCACTGTTCGGATGGCAAATGGCATAGGAGAGAATGTAGCGGGAGTGCAACAAGTGAGAACACCATAGACTAATCAACTCTCATACGATATGATGTGTGCACATGTGATGTGTAGTCGTGTCGAAAAACCTGTGGCTAGCTGTGACCAAGTGATTGACGTACGTTTTGTAGAGGACGAAGGTGATAAAACGCTGGTGATGAGGACAAGTCGTGAGATAGATCTTGCACCGATGCAGCCCAACAGTACTCACAATTAATCTCTTGGACAAAAAATGATCTCTCGTCCAAAACAAGAAAGATTCCTGGGGGAAGGAACAACCCATACTAGACTTTGGTGCCACTCTCTCACCCCAAAACGGCAACTGCTCTGATCTCCACAAGACGTTCGTGCAACCCTGTCGATCAATCTCTTATCAGTAACCGTGACCTATCAACCACGGCGCCTGTCCAATCCCTTTTTGCAATTTGACAAAACATCACCAATGATTCCTCCTAGCTCTACCCAACGATATATACCCATGAAATTACTCCGGTTTTTTTTTCCGGGGTGAAGTTTTGCAATTCTTTTGAGCTAGTGGATGCGGTTTTGTTTGTATGATGATTATGTTGTTCCTTTTCGAGACGGCATCTACATTTACCACAAACTAGCACGGTCTCCCGTCCAATTGTCGCCCTCTGTTAGCCGGTAAATTAACTAGGCGTGTTCTTTGCGCGTGTCGGCACGTATGCGGAGGTCATATATTAATTAGCTTTTCCCTTCAAATATACTCCCTCTGTTCTTAAATATTTGTCTTTCTAGAGATTTCAACAAGTGACTACATACGGAGCAAAATGAGTGAATTTACACTCCAAAATATGTTTATATACATCCATATGTGGTAACCATTTGAAATCTCTAAAAAGACAAATATTTAGGAACGGAGGGAGTATATATTAGTTAGCTTGACCAAGTTGAGTTGTAAATCAATTGATGGATGAATTACATGACTTTTGCTTTCCATTTGTACAATGACTAGTCCCTCTCAATTTAATCGTGCAAACTAAAGGCAATGTTGCTCTCATCGTACGATTTGTTCAGGAGAGGTGAATTTCTGATTGACGATGACATGCAGATCGATGCAAAGCATATAGTGCTGTCCACTCTCCCGGTTTCTATTTCTATGAATAGTGACGGCAACACTATGAAGGTAACACAACAATAATTCTTTATTATCCAGGGCTTTGAAATTATTGGCTTGCTCCACTCTGTCATTCTCAAGCTAGCTGTGGAGTCAGTGTGAAATGGAATAATAATAACAGTATATACTTGACTGACCTCTGTGTATATAACCATCATGCACATTTTAGTTTAAGAAATGTGGTGGGCTATCAAATATCATTCCCTTTTTTGTAGTACCGAATTCTATAAATTGTAAAAAATATCGAGAAAATGCAATAGACTTTCATCTTCATATATTGATAATAAAAGAGAGTTCGCTCGCAAGAAAAAAAGATAATAAAAGAGAGTTATCTACAAAGATCAAGCGGAAAAAGGGCTAAACCCGCCAAAAAACAATGCAACACCCTACTCGCTAAGTGCGATGGAAAAAGCGACACCAATCCCGTTGCCGCGTCTTTGCGTGCTATTTGGGCTCAACTCTGAGTTGTGTCGAGCTGGTGACATTGGGTTTCTAGTTGTTGAAGATGGCCATATTCTTCCCGCAAAAAAGAAGAAGAGCAAGATAATCGTGTTTGATTGCTTCTAGATCTACCACTCCGTGAGCATGATCACCGAAGATGTGCACTTTCACAACATTGGTGGCCTAGAGAGAACTGTCTGATGCCACTATTCCATGAAGTTGTCCCCGTCAACCAAGGACCAGAAGGTGGATTAGATCCAAGATAGAACATCGGGCCAAACAGCGCATGAAAACGGACGGCCCGCAAGATGGTGGGTCTTGATCTCTGGGGATATGGTCGGTCTAAGAGCATCCACAGCCGGACATAGCAAATCCATCCCATTAAACGTCCGCGGACGCGCATCGTCAGTGCCCGGGCTTGTCCGTTTTTAGCTCTTATTTATCCTTCCATGCAACCATACTCCTCATTTTCTTCCTTATATAGTTGGTCATTTGCATGTGATTGGTGGAGAGATGAAGAGAGAAAGAATAAAGAAAGAGAAAATGTGGTTCAGAGTGGGCCACGTCCTGCGTGGCAGACTGACCGGGCTTGTCCGCAAGCTCTCATATACCCCCCCCCCCCTACATTTGATCTCAATATGAGGGTTCGCGGACAGTCGAGATGTACAAGGACGATATGAGGGATCCGTTTGGGTCAATTTTTTCATTCTCTCCTGTCCTGTCAAGATCATGCGCGTTCGTGGACATTTGAGAAGAATTTGAGGAGGCCGGCTAATTGAGCTGTTCTACTGACTTTGTGGTTATGTAAAATCATAAAACAAGATAAAAGTAACTGAAGACATGGTAACACATCGATGTACACGGGCAGTTGCAGTTGCCACGATTGACTGCGCAGGAGCAGATTCTCCAACATGGAACGATCTATCTGTCAGTACAGCAGGATGAATTCAACAGTGGCAGTTAGGAGTAGCTAGCTACAGGAGCCTACAGCTGCTAGCTCTACCCTCTAGCTAGCTAGCTGGTCAGTCAGTCTCATGAGTGGAGCTGAGCTGAGGTGAGGAGTAACTGCTAACTAAACATATTGAATCAGTGGGACAGTACACATAACTGCTAGATATAAATGTACAGCAGCGACATAAATCGTAGTATAATTAATTAATCATGTTTAGTTGTGTCTTTAGGCTGGTCACAATGGGGAGGAACTTAGGAATAACATCACACACTTCAATACAACTTTGCTTATGTGTCATATATTTAATGAAAAGAGAGATGTTTGTGGTAACTAGCTAAGTTACCGGAACATCACACACTCCAAGAAACAATGAGTCTATAACCTAATAAATACATCGTTGCATGACACTACATAGATGTTCCTATCCATTATGAAGATAGTAACATAGTCTAGGGAAATGTGTAAGTTACTAGCTTATGTTCTTGCCCATTGTGACCAGCCTTATGATAGGTGCAGCTGAGGAAAATGATAGAGGCGTGTCAGTGTGTGCGCATGTGAGAGTTACTTCGTCCGTTCTTTTTACATGGGATGGTATTAGACAGGATCCTAAGAACGTGGTAATAGACAAAATACATGAATAAAATAGAAATGTATGTGCAAAACAGAGACTTGTAAACATTGGAATTTTGTCAGCTTGAGTGTTTATTCACAGGAATTAAAAAGGAAGAAGCATGAATCCTATTAAATATGGTCAAATGAAAATCAAACCACATGAAAATGTATAGTTAAAATGGCCAAATAATTTGCTCGTGCACACATTTGCTCGTGTGGGTTACTTTCTACTCAACATGATCTACAAAACTGAAAGAAATAGCCCAAATAATTTGCGATTGTAAATATTACTCCCTCTGTTTTCAAGTAAGTTCTTTTTTTTGTACAACCTTAACTGTGCAATTTGGCTTTTGACTTTTCTATATGCAAGTATAATATTATAATGATACCTATTAGGCAAATAATACAATTTGTGTCTAACAAACATAGGCTGTTTCTAAACATTTGATGTTCACGATAAATAAGTTTGATTGTTGGCTTCTAAAATGATCTTTAAAGATACATAAATTTGTGTTTTGACTTCCAACTAACCAAAGAAATTTAAATGATGTACTTTTAAACGGACGAGGTTTTCTTAGAGCATCTACATCCGTGGATAGCAGATCGGGACCCTCAAATGCCCGCAGACGCGCC